GTATCTGGTGCCAGTCTTGACACAAATATGGCCTTTCTAGGAGGAACTGCCTTCAAGCATATGTCATCAGTACTGGGAGCAGCAGGGTTAACGGATGGGGAGTTATGAGTTGGGGAAAATATAGAGGGGGTAACCACACTTGCACGAGCAGCTTGCTCAGTTTGGCGACCAGCATTTACACCCGAACAGCGAGGAGGAGAGGACGATTTACTACTACCCTTATTAGTTTTGGGCAATGACGCCTGAGAAGATTGAGTGACATCTATGGGAGGAGATACCCTTGCCACTTCAGCATAGCTCAAGCCAGAAGGACTTCTCGGACTATTTGTAACATCTATGTTCCCAACCGACTCAGCCGTAGCAGAAACACTAACATTATTTGTAGCCTTTAGGGAATCGCTAACTTGCACCAACGAAACGGACTTAGGAGGTGACGAACCACACGCTACGCTACGCGTTGAGACTATGTTAGCTGGAGAGGAAGATGACTGCGCAATATACCGACATTCATCAAACCTAGTCTTGATTAATTCAAACTTCTCCCACAAAGAGCCGAGATTTTTTCTCAAATCTGAGAAACAATTTCTCGTCTCCGTTAAGAGCTTGTAGAAATCAATATCCCGCTTTCTACAGTCAGGACATGACCATCGTAAACCTTTAGAAGGGTCAAGGACTGCATCAGCAGCACGGCCGGTAATACCAGCACACTTTGCATGTCCAAAACGATCACACAACCAGCAAGAAATGAATCGTTCAGATTCAGGGCCAGTTTTCGCACGACATGGAGTAAATAAACAATCCATGTCCATTGAAAACAAAAAAAGTAGCTTAAGAAGGAAAAAAAAAAAAAAAAAACGAAAAAGAAAAAGAAAAAGAAAAACAAAAAAAAAAAAAATAATAATAATTTTTGCACGGCACAAATTTTCAGGAAAATTAAAGCAAATTTCTCACTTCCCTGCCCACTGTAAATATAGAGCGAAAACTAACGGAAACTGTAAACACAGATTAAAAGGCAAAAAGAGAGACTTTTACCAAGAGCTCAATTGTTGCTTACAATAAACCAAAATGATTTTTTCACATAAATGGTTAATAAATTCATATACAATATATTCACACTTTATTCTTTTAGAGAATTTTTTAAATTTAAACACGAATAAAGCAAAAAGTTAAGAAATACAACTAAAAAAATTGATATATTTGTTGACAGAATAAAAACGCGACTTTGAAAGAATTAATATTTTAAGTTGACAAGCTCAGCTTCAAAATTAATTGACACTTTTAACAAAATTGTTTGCTTCGATACTTTTCTACAACTAACATTATACAAGATTGTTCATTCATAAATTCATAAATTTTGGTAAAGGGCGCTTAAGCTAAAGTTTTGCAAATGGGCCACCTGGCTTTATTTTTCATTTCTTCTTCTAATTTTATTTTTATTGTATGCACTCAACATCGTGCATACTCTGCAGCATACATATGCATTCCTAATAACCTTGCAACACGTGAAACTGCACAGTGAGTGTGGATTTCGTAAAAAACCAAAAGAAATCAAGAATCGTTTACATACAAGTACATTGAATCAAAAATAGGAGAAAAAGATGCCATGATAAGTTATGAGTAAAAATAAGTATATAAAAAAGCTGCGTTTAGACAACTATTATCAAGCTGCATTATTATTTGAAAAATTAAAAACAGCAATAATTGCTATACAAATTATCATAAATTTAATTAATTCTAAGTAAATATACCCATCAGAAATAATTAGGATTTTCTCTATTAATGAAATGAGTCGATAGTTTTCTATAAACATATAAATGGAAACTTTACTGTGAATCATGCTATCCATGAACACTGTATTCAGCCAAGACAATTCCATGTAAAATATAATAAAAGTAATCAAATGTCCTGGGATCACGGAGGTAGTTACATATCAGCTTTTTTTTTTCCTTTATATTCCATTGCTAAAACATTTTATAATTTTTAAGAAATATTTGCATTTTGCTTTTTTTTAGCTTAAAAAAAAATATAATTTTGTTATTTGTTAATATTATGGCTTTCCGAAATTGATTTGTAGGAACTCGCCTTGACCCTCATGGTTAAAAACTTAGTATTAATTAAAATTTCTGTAATAGACTAAGAGCACTTAAAAATTATGGACAGCCCCACAGAATATTCTCTATCAGAATTTTCGCTGTATTCGCCGTTTAACAACGACTTACTCACCCACCTTTTTCTGAAACATCAAACCTTCTTGCAAATGTAGGTTTTTATTCTGATGTTTGTCTCGGAACGAAAATGATTGATCAATGTAGATCTAAACGGCACTTCACTGGCATTGGTAGGTGGTAGAGGGAATGAACGTTAGCATCAATACCCTTAATCGCTCTTCTTCTTTAGGTACGCATTGTTTAAATCCGTAACGGCGGTTGAAATACTACAAGTTGTATGTTGTGTTACTTTACTCTGCTCACATTTGAACCAAGTTTTTAAATGGTGACATAATCTTTTCCAAAAGGACTGTGCGACTTGAAATACTTTGCTTTTATCGTAAATCAGCGGCTCTTACAGATAATACATTATGTCTGTTGTTGGCTTGTTTGTAGCCGAACTGCGTTCACTTTCTCGTAACGGCTATCCGCTAAGCGTCTATCTTCGTTTTAGAACTGCTGGCGTGTGAGTAAATGACGCATTGATAGTTTTAATCTTCATAAGTGTCTTTTTAAGATATATTTGCATTGTAAAAAAGGTGGTAAGTTTACAAAATGTTGGCAGACCAGAAATTAATTGAAAAATTTGTGCAGTAAAAGTTCGAGTTTCTTACTAAAAATAAATTTCGATCAGTTGCGTCTTTGGTACGGAAACAACGATTTGAGGGCAGTACATCGACACCGACGTAGCAATAAATAGCTACATTATTTACTTAAGGGCACACTTATTATTTATCATCAAAAATGTCACAATCCGAAGAAATAAGTGATCCACGGTTGCAGGAAAACAACATTTTTGGAAAGCAAACTTCCTTTGGTTCAGACAAATGCAAAGTCAATTTTTTAAAGCTGAAATTACTTTAGATAATACCAAACATCATACACTAGTCAACACTGCTGAAAGCCATGTCATTAACGCAGCCAACCCCTTCGTTGGAAATGCATGAATTCAATATTCATGCCAAACTCTAAAAACGTATTATTAGGCAAATTTCAAGAATCCGAAGAAACACATCTGTAAAAATTACTAGAAAATGTAACCTTGATGATAAAAAATCTTCGAAATTTTTCGTGAAATGCGTCAACTATCTTCGGTAAAAGCGTCAGGTAATTTGCTGAAATCTTTATGGTTCCAACGTTTACCGTCAACGATTAAAGCCACTTTATAAGCCAGCATAAAAAGCTTGGATAAGCTCACGGTTATAACAGACAAGATTAGAAGCCAGTTAAATTGTCCTTCAGTAAGCTCGGTGATCTCGATGAATTAGCATTAAATGCGTTGTAATATCCAAACCCAAACCAGTGGATTGAAAAAACATATCGATGTAATTAACTTACAAGACCGCATACTATATTGAAATAGAAGCCACACCAAGAAGAAAAGAGCATCACACACGTCATCTGAACGGTTGCGTCGGTACCATTTTAAGTTTAATGTGAAGGCACATTTCGAGCAACATGCAAAAATTGTAAGGAAAACAAATTTTTCGTCCACAGCGACTTATGAAGGAAAAGCTAAAATATGTCACCTTTTTCGTACGAGATAATTCTTCAAACTGTAAATTCCTTATATATACACGAGCCGACATACCGGTAATTCCGCCGTCTGCCTGTCAAAAACGTTCTAAACCAGACAAATTGCTTCTTCAAGCCGCAAATGACTCGTTTATTAACGTTTATGGAGAAAATGTTTCAGATTTTAACCTTAATTTATTTCAGCCATTTATGTGGAAACTTATAATTGCTGAAATTCTACAACCAATTATGGATTCTGGCTTTCTAAAACATTTTCGATTGCTTGTCGACGTCGAAATAAAGCCTTTTATCGATAGCATTGGAAAGTCAAGCACATGTTGTTTCATATCAATCAAGAATGACATTTTCTACGTTGAAAGTTGTTTAGTTTCTGATAATTAACCATCTCATCATGTATTATCGAAATTTGAAGACATTACGCAACCGTCATGCATTTTACCCAAACTTTTACATTTAATGACTCATGTCATCGAAAAAAAAAGAAAGGGACTAGCTGTTCATTGTAAACCGCTCAAACTAACTACGATGCAATTAGGTATATGTCGAAGAGCAGCTGGACAAATCTCTCACACTCTGTTCTAGAATCTAATAACGAATGGCACCTATGCGGTGGTTATAGAACTCTCAAAAAATTACGGTTTCGGAGGGATACCCTGTGTCAAATTTTTCAGCAATTTTTCAGCTAATTTACATGGCAAAAAAATCTTTTCTAAAATAGATTTGTGGAAAGCTCATTCTCTTTTCAAATTCCTATTGAAGAAAAAGATGCACCCAAAACCGTCATTATCTCGCCAATAGGACTTTTCGAATTTGCAATAATTCTGTATTGCCGCACAAACCTGTCAATGATTTATGTACGAAGTCCTAAAAGGTTTCATATGTTGTCATTAACGATATTCTTATTGCTTCTATAAACTTGAAAGAGTATAAAGAACAATTTAACACACTTTTTAACCGTTTAAAATCCTATATAAACTTTCAAAAGTTCGAATTTGGGATAAGCGACCTATCTTTCCTAGGATATTCAAGGAATACAAAGGGATGATTATCAAATCCAGAACGAAATAGCATTCCCTTTAGCACTCCCTTGTCAATTCGTAGCCGACTCGATTTACTCGATAAATTTTAATTGGATGGAAACATGTTGCCAGAATATGCAAAACATGCCAACTTACAAATTAAATCCATACAGATATACACCTTGATATGTTCCTCGAGATATGAAAACATGTTTCTTTGTCTTTTTAGCAACGATTCCGTATGAAAGGCTTTACAGCATCCCTTTACTGAACCTTGCAAGGTTATTCCGCTGACTGAACGTTAAACATTACAGGAAAACCCGTACCATCTGATAGATTGAAACCAGCCAAAATCGATCAACAAATTCAAGATTCACATGAGAAACGCGCAGTAATCAAACTTCACGACGAGAAAGTCCTACGTTTAAAGTCAAGTGGTGTATGTAAGTATCTGTTTCTTCTTTATGTCAATGTTAGCCATTGAAAATCGTATGGTTAATAAAATAATTGGAGAAAGTGAAAAGAATTACGCTCGTCACGTGCATGATTCGCGTTACAGAATAGTTGTAGGTTAAGAGGGTGCCGCCCTTTTATATACGCGATGCTGGCTTCGACGTCACGCACAAGTCACTAGACTTTAAATTTCTCGCCAACAACTTTATTATCGTACAAAGCGTAGACTACTAATCATGCTAAATACGTTCACGAAAAGAGCTATGGCCTCTCTCGTTGAGAAAGATCGTCTTTCCATTGTTCGTCTTAACAGCGCTCTCAGAGCGCGGCCGATGGTGAATCAAAGGCGAAAAGGTTTCAAGCTCAGGACGGAAAAATAAAATAACTCTCTCTGTTCTAAGTGAAAGCTGTCGTCGGTGAATCAAGGACAGGCTAGTGTCAATAAGGTAAAATTCCTACAGTATAAAGCAAGGATAGACAATCGCTCTAACTTATGGCTTAATACGACCCTACCGGTGTAAGGCCAATGATCGTTATAACAACAATTTTATGGTGTGTTACTAAATGACGCATATTGTAGTGTAACTGCATGTCATCCACTTGAAGCTTGTCGCAAATCAAGATAGTAAGAAACGTTTATTAACAAAATATAAACAAATAACAAATCGAAATTTTTACAAATATTTATAAAAAATAATTTTTTATACGCTAACCACAGCGTTAAATAACTTGTCCATCATGTTAGCTAGAAAACTAAAAACCTAGAAAATAAGTAGAAATAAGGGATGATGAAAGATTCATTCACTTGAGATACTGAATCAACTGCAGCATTTTATTCACTTTATGTTGGCCAGGGACTCCTCTAGCCGAAGAATTTGGCAAGATAAAGAGGAAAGAGATTTGGCGTTCTGCGTAGTCTCTTTAGGAGGAAAATTTACAAACATAAATTCGCTGCACATAACAGCGATCGAAATTTTTATGAATTGGAAATAAGTTGAATGCATTTCTTGACCAAAAACGTAAATGAAGATTTCAAAACTATTTTTAATAAATTTACAACCCACCGCAATATTTATCTTCTATTTCATGAGAGTATTCATTATTCATGAATTGCCTGTACAAATGATAAATATGTATTTTTTCCTTTACACATGTTTTCTTTTTGGAAGTAACGCTTTCTCAAGCAATTTTGTGAATTTTTGGTAACATTTTATCTCACAAAAAGTAAATGGAGATCTAAATACTCAATAATCACGACAATCTTAATAAAAGCATTCTTACCCTTGTTTAATTTGTTTTGTATGTTTGAATTAAAAAATACAATTTTTAATTTTAACAATATATTAACTAAACTTTGCTTAGGCAAATATTAAAATTTTCCCAAGTTTTGGATATACTCCTAAGTATAAATAACGCGTCAAATATTAACCCGTGGAAAATTAATCCAATTACTACAGATTAAGGATAAACAAGCATAACGTTACCTCAGATAAATTCGAAAATCCTCTTCATTTTTTCTTATTAATTTATTTAAAAAGTTGGCTATAATATTAGCCGAAAAAGTATAAATCGATATGCATTTGCAGAAAATATTACGCGATGAGAATATTGGACATACTCGAATCGAGAGACCAAACGCGGGATTCTTATTTATATGTGGGCGTAGCAAAAACCGTCCTTCTCTAATACAAGGGCGCCTAATTGCATGATCTTAATTATCTTATAGAGGAGAGTTTCAAAGTTAGGGAGCAGGTGCATTTTCAAATAAACAAGTATCAAGCAGACAAATATATATTCACTAAAATTTGTTGACATAAAAGTAGAGTCGTAGTAATTAACTACGGTTGTCATAAAGAACGGCTTTTAAAATAGATTAAAACAAGTTAAATCACCGTTATGGATGGGAAACTATTACAACATGTAAGGATTTATTGCGGCGTAGGACAAATGAACTAGGGCTATGATGACCGTGCTGAGGAACAAAATTCTAACGTCCGTGAACAAATTTAGGGTGGGGTATCAGTCGGTCTGTTTTTGTCGTAAATGTAGTATTAACTTCATGCCGTTATGCAAAATCGCATGATCACCAAAATAGCGGCTTGCCGCTACGCACAAAGAGATCAAGCGAAAGAAAAATGAAACAATTTGGGAGAAGAGAGCAAGAAAATTATGGTTAAGTTTCCGGTGGTTGTTGTTTTGGCTACGGGGCAGTGATGTTTGAGTTGTGAAAGAGATCGGATGGAAGACGATGGTGACGTTTAAATCAGAATAATTGACCTTCTTTGTAGTAAAAATTTATTAAAAATGAAAAAGGATAAAAAAAAGAAAAACTAATTAAAAATCTTGTTTTCTACTTGTAAATGTAATCGATACAAGATTTAGTTTAAATCATTGTAAGTGTTAATAAAGCATGAAAAAATACTAATAAGAAAAAGATTAATAATATCTTGGGTTTAAAGTGAAATTGAGTATAAGAAAGGAGCCTAAGTGTAACACAAAAAAACACACAAAGGCATTAGAGAAAAACAAAGAAATAAGCGATAGTATTTTTAAAAAGAAAAAAAGCATATCAATTATGAAACAAAATATAAAGTCATGAAGAAAATTTACGTTAAATTAAATTGCAAGGTTAACTACGGATAAGAAACTTATGCATAGTTCTGTCTCAACGGCAAGGAAAATTGTTCTAGAGGGATCTATGATAAGTATAAAGTGTAAAAGCCAAACTAAGTCTAAAAATAGTAACTAATTCTTTAATTTCCTATGCAAAAAGGTTATTTACTTTAATTAAAGGTTAATTATAATGGAAATTCAAAAGAAAATGAACAGAAACATTTGGTACATTATTCCTCGCAATTTTTAGTCAAACATTATTACAAGTCTTGTGTCCAATTGCATAATTTCTTCATATTGAACAATTTATAACAACTAGAAACAACTCGTTTGGTAAAAGGAATGTATTTGGCAAAAGTGGAAGAGAAGAAAAATAAAGAAGATGAAAGAATGCGTCGAAGAACAAATAAACTAAGGTACCGAAAGGAAAAGCAATCTGTTAACAATAAAAAATCTCTAGTTAAAAAGTAAAACAAGAAACATATGCGGTTATGTTAACAACTATTTATTTCTATTAGTGCTAAATTGGATTGATTTTACTTGCTGGTGTTTTAATGACTATTTAAAAGTTCAAGTTTTCGTTTTTTTATATTGAAACTAACACAAAATCGGTAAATAAAGTGTGCGTTAAACCCTTTTTAAGAGTAGAAAAAGTAAAAATCTTTTTTATTCAACACATCCTGGTAAAAAGGGCAAGTAGCTAAGCCCCTGTTAATGACTTAAAAGTTTGTATTGTGGTGAAATTGCCTGCCTTGGTGTTTTGCAGTTTGGGTTTGTCGTCGATTGAATACAAACAGCATTGGAAGGAAAGAATCGAATAATTTTGCATTTGCGGCCATTCTCAGGAAACTAAATAGTCACAAAGAAAGTAACTTCATGAGCACCTCTTTATTATTTGCACGAATAATGAAGCTGTCACCCATTCAACAGCTGATGACAAAAGTCAGGGATTATTTTAGTTAATTAAGAAAAAAAAAAAAGGATGAATAATTAAGTGGAGTACCCCTCCGCTGAGGTGGAGTATGGAAGGCGTCACGCATGCGTGGAGATAGGAGGATTGGGGACGGATACTGACAGACGAAGACGGGACCAACGAACGACGGACGACAGACCCTGCAGACTGACTTACACAGGACAACAAAAAAAAGCCGTTTGAAGGCATTTATTTTGCTGTTAGTTTATATACATACATTTATTTTTTTTTTTTTTGTAATGCGGCACAGCGGGCCAAGAGAAAGCAGGCAACCGCTCTACCGTCTACGAGCTAGGCCGCGTTACCTCATATATATGTACAGAAGTTCACGCGTTCTCCGTTTCAAGCTAGACGATATTTGATTGAGCTGCATTCGACCTTGAATCCATTTAGCCATGACTTATTTTTCCGAACGCTGCAATGTATAAACAAGACGTAAATCCGTTACAACTGGCAGTAAACGCTTTAAAAGTTTTGCAATAAAGTTCTCAAAGGGTAAACCAGTTCACTCTGTCCCTCAATGAGAGATAATACGAAATTGGACGATCTAGTGATTATTGTTAAAAATACGTTGAAGCAATTTAATTGGAATTCCGTAATTGTATACATGTAATTAGCTTTAATCTGTGAAAATCACACTCATTTAAATACATATATTATGAAATTAGTTAAGAAAATATACGTAAGACTAACATTGATTGGATTCGAATCTGGTCCACATTTAATTTTTTTTTTTGATTGATAAAAGAATATTTCAAAGGAAAATTCTATAGCCAAACAAAAAAATTACAAAAATATTTAGACGATTTGGATGTCGATACGACGAACTTATTCAGGAAGGTTTTTGTTTTAATCCACAGATGTTCAGCTAACGAAAAAACCTCAGAAAGGTAAACTCTTTCAACTTCATATGAAGCGAATACATAAATACGTATATAGATTGGCAGCGTTGCAGTTTTTATTTGATTTGGTTCTCTGTTTCGTTTGGTTCGCAGTAAGAAGAATGAGTAAAACGGATAAACCAAGTAGATACAATCATCCACAATAAATAGTAATTGGGTGCAAATCTAAGTTTATATAATCTATCCAGTGTCAAGAATTAACTTGGGTTTACTAGCAGAAAGGGAAGAAGCAAGCAGTTTTTGAAAACATTAGAACAATGCCGAAAGGATCATAATTGAAAAGTGATTGCCTATGAAACCAACGCAACACTTTATGAGAGCTCGAAGAAAACAAGTAAGGGAGAGGAACATAGATACAGATCGATAGTAAGTTAGAGTAACTTAGTTTAGGTACAACACCCAGCTGAGTGACTGCCGCCAAAGATAACACTTCATTTTTTTAAATGGCAACAGAAGAAAATTTTTTTTCTTCAACAATTTTTTTGAGTGGATATATAAGCCA